ATCTAATCGGATAAATTTATGAGAACAAGTTCTCATTGACAATACCATAATAGAAACTTGGTAGCAACTAACCACGACTATTTTGTGGCTGAATTCCCTTCTTATATTCTATTCCCACAAGAACAGTAATATTAATCAACCAACAACCTTTTTTTGGTAAGAAAAGATGTTCCAAGTCAATTTTTTCTTGTTCCAAGCTAATCCATAAATAAAGGCAAACTTTGCAAATTGAAAATTGATTCTAGACAACAGTACAGCATTAAGGAACAGTGTAATCAAATTTGACCTTCTATGCATATAAATACAAGTTCAAGAATTTAGGATTTGAGATAAGAAGAATGTGGTTTGAAACTTCAATAATATTGTTTGCTCAAATGTCTTGCATGAAGAGGTAGAGAGAGTGAATTTGAGCCGAGGATGACTTGCCGGCAAAAGAAGTATCCCCTCTGAGGATGTTGCTGGCAAAGATTTCGGGCTCATATTTGCTCTCTTACCTCCCATATGAGACTCCAAAAAGAGCTTGTAAGTGCTTCATGTTTGCAATTTGAATGTGGTAATATGCTTATACATGGAGAGGGAAAACAAAGTAATATATATAACTTCATCTCATAATCTGATTTTTAGCATTATCTAGTTTAATCAGTTTAGTTTATCCTTTCTTGTTTAATTCCATACTTCAGGATCGTGTAGATCAGCCCAACTTATTTTTTTTTGGGTGGAATGTAAATACTTTTCATTACACAATAAAGGCAACATATAAAAAGGGAACATAATAGTCCAAGTGACCACCTCTAGGAGGGTTCCCTTGATTATTCCTTAAACTAGCTTAAAAAACACTAAGAGCTTAAAAACATTAAGAGCTAACATGCTCAACAATATTTTATTGTGCCGCTGTGTGATTGCATGCATCGCTTTTTCACTGCACCGGATGAGGTGTAAAATTTATTGTGATTAAAAATAATTTTTAATTTAATGAAACCCGATATTGTCCAAATGATGTCTAATTCAGTTGCATTACGTCTTGATATGACCACGTTATTATGAAGTCTTTCATTTCTTCTCTCTTACCTCCAAAAAATGAACTCGCAACGAACCCTTAGGAGAATAAATATGTTAGCTTGTGCAAATTTGCATGTGAAGAATAAATGTCAAATACTCTAGGCTATTTGTTCTTTGTGTTGAAGAGGATTGTCAGAATATGAGTTTCCTTCCTTGATTCGGATAATAGCCAACTTTAGAGAGTTATTGGAGCTTAGGCTCTATGCAGAAACGAGCAGTCACAAACCATGGACCATATTTGGTGGGTACTTGAAAAGGGATTCCGATACTCAAATTAGTATTTCTAGGAGTATGTTTTGATAAAGAATGTCAAAAGAATACCATTGTTGTTCCCTTATGGGTGTCTTTGGCTACTTATATTGTCGGGTTAAGTGGGTTGTACTCCTAGGGGAGATGTCATCATTGTGGACGATGTGGCCTTGTCCTTTCAACAACCTATCATACTAATAATGATGTGAACTTGGACTACTTGTGTCGTGTGGACAACGTGAACCTATTCACAACTCAGGTGGTGTGTCCTTGACTTTGACATGAATGGAGGTTCTATGGCGTAGCAGGTGCTGACTTTTCCTATGACTATTATCATTTCCTTTAGCTTGGTTGATCGCCCAACCTAGACCGACAATTGTATATTCTAAATCTTGTCCGTTTGGGCACGATTCATAGTCGTGTAGATCATATCTTGTATATACGGTTGTTGGTATCTTTTCGTCAATCATTGCCTTTCACTTTGGTCTTTGTGTCCGACATTAAATTCAAAGCAGATGGCGATTGAGTGATTTAGCTGCATTTATTGGTGCAGCGGAAGCGATCGTTGCGAATCGTTGGTCACAAGCAATCAAATAATGCATAGAATAAATAGAAGAGAAGAAACAAAGAATTTGGTAACGGGGTTCGGCCAATTGTGCCTATGTCCCCGGGAGCGTTGAGCAGCTACCAATATATTATTAGAGAATAAGGATTACAAACCCTATCACACCCATGGGTCCGAGTGGCCATGTGGTGTTTCTGTTTGGTGCTTATATCTGGTACACATTACAACAAGGGACCTGAGTCAAATATATAACATTGGTTACTCTACTCTATTCCAATACTGAGTGATGTGAGACTAATGTAATAACATATTTCATGCAAACAGCATTAATGAGTCGTTTTTGGTAGTTGGTAGATTGTTTTCGGTATGTTTTCTCTCCTCTAGCTCTTACAAATAGGGGTTCAACCTTTCTTCCTTACATCTTTTGTGCATTAAGTTATTTGCTTTTGAATTTTCTAAAATTTAGATACACCATTTTCTCCTCTTTTTTTTATAATTTAGGATGGTGAGGATATAACCTCTAAAGGAGGTCCTTCTTGGCTTTCCACTTCCTTTCTATCGCGGTCCATCGGGAGGAGAGGAGCAATGGGTGCGCCCACTGCCCCCAGCACTAGTGAGGGAGCTCGTGACTTCTCCACTAATGGGAAGTCTTGATCGGTGAGGATATACTCCAAGAAATTCCTTTGTGAACCTTATGAATTTTGATCCATAACTAGCATAATAAGCAAGTAAGGTGTTTAATTCTCTTACCCGTCAAAATACCGCCCGTTCTAAGTAGATCTCAATTGTTGGTTCTTCTCTTTGCGGGTTCAAGATGGCAAGAAACTCTTAGTCGCGGGCTTATCTATTTACTTTTCCACAATAAATGGTGAAAATGGGATGTTTGCTTCTAGGTAACAAAAATAATTACCTAGTATTTTCTTAGTAGAGAATGTTGTATAGTTAAGAATAATTCTCAATATTGCAAGTCAACTAGTACTTTAAAGTCATTTTGCCAAAAATAGTTATGAAAGAGAAGATATGGAAACATTAAGTTCCAAAATCTATCTAATAATTTATAGTTTCAAACAATTTTTACATATCTCATTTTAAATATGATCATTTATTATATTATAATGTAATAATTATATTTTATCCTTGTTGTTCCATGCCATGATAAAGACCCGTCACCAGTGACAAATAACTTAGATTGGATTGAAGAACCAACAAAATAAGATCTAGTCATGTAAAAGATTGTCGATCTTCCTTTAGGCGACTATAATTGAAGGATCGCAATGATAGGACAAGGCCGAGTTATCATTTACTATGTTGAAAAACCTTCCTTCACATCAAAGGGCTATGCTATGCTGCAAACATGGCCAAACAAAGGACATGTTAATAGTGTCTACACGACATAACTAACCCCACTCCTTAACACTGCCATGCTAATAGGCTAAAAATAACAAGATCTCATCATCTATTATGTTTACAGACCTCCCCTTGGAGCACAGATCACTCCACCTCACAATATATATAGGTGAAGCTACTTATAAGGAGATGACATCTATTCCCTCTCTACTTTCTCTCTCTAACGTACAACTATAAATATTTGAATAAGTGTTGGAGTCCCTTTTAGGTACTCATCCAAGGTGTTCCAAGACCAACAATCGTCCAATTTAGCACATTGACTAGATTCCGACAACCATCCTCCATCTATCCTCCAACATCTGCATCACTTATAAATTTATGGGACACCTCTAATGCAAAAGTCTTCTTATATTTGTTCCAATTCTTATAATTAGTTGAACAAATATCATCTATTAAATTGAAATAATTATAAGTTTTATATATGGAGTAGCAGTACACTTTTGCACAAGTAATGACCTCTTGATATTTATATGCTCCAAATCCAATATAATTAATTCCTACTTTTTCCATTTCACTGAGAAATTGATAATATATTGAGAAATTGATAATATATTAATAGTTAAATAATTTATTTATATATTTAATATTAAGTTAAACTTTTTTTAAGGAAATAAATCTTCAAATGAGATAAATGGAGAGAATTGAAAATGTAAAGGATTTCCACACCATATTATATACTTTATCCTTTATTTTATTCTTAGGTTTAATTTGATCTTAAAAAAAAAGAAAATGGGTTTAAATGACTTTATAATTGTTAGCTAGATACCACTTTAAATTAACTTCCTTTCCAACTTTCTTTTTCTTTTACAAATAAAAATAACAAGTATTTAACTAGCACTTAATTTGTTAAATAATGATGTGATATTATTTAAAATTAATTATTCCCTACCAATTTCTGATTTTTTAAAATTAAAAATAAAAAGGGTTTTAAGTGACTTAACAAGCACTTATTAGATGGATTAAATTTAAAAAAATGTGTGTTTTCCATTTTATTTTGTTTTTTAATTAAATAAAAAAAAATCATTCCAGCCATCTTTTTTACTTTATAAAAATAAATAATTATTTGTACTCACATGTGAGTAATACAATAATTTTTGTGATTTTATAATGTCGCTACAAAATTTCTACCCAAAACATAACATTATAGATATTTTTAATTTTAACGTCAATAATCATTATTTTTACTCAGATATGAGTATCATAATAATATTCTACGACTTTTCAGATATTCTGGAAGCAATCTTACATCAGTATTCATATTTTAAATAAAATCAATCAATCACGAATTTGATTTTAAAGGAAAAAATAAAAATATTTTAATTGATTGGAGACATTAATCAGAATGATTCTTTTTATTTTCAACATGTGTTAAATGCATCCTATAAATAGAGGTTAGGGAACATTAGCAAAAGACATGAGAAAAATAAACACCATAGCATCCCAATGGAATTGCACTGTTTTTTTTGGAGCAGGAAAAAAACGTCTATTACCAAAATAGTTAATTACAAACCGATCTACAAATTAGGTAATAAAAACTCCTAGTAGCTAGAGTTAAGTTTACTAAAATAAAGTTTTAATTCATGGTAGAGGCTAGCCTTATCATAAATAGTTCTAAGAATGTTAGGTACAATATCAGAATTAGCATTATGTCCTGGAATAGACAAAGGTTTCTTAGAGTCCAAATAGCATAAACTGTTTCAACAGCTACTTTCTTCATCAATTTGCTCTTCATGCTCTTCCCTCTGGTTTGGTGTTCCAGCTAATTTAACTCATCCTACCATCATCTGGGTTGATGTTTCTCATTCATCCATCTAAGGACAGCAACACAAGAAGATGTGTTTTGTTGTTTCAATTAAGTCACAAAATGAAAATTTTCCATCTGGGCCAATTTGTTTTGTCAAGCCAACAAGAGGGTGAACTATGCTCTTGACCTTGTTGTGTTGCCGTAGAAGAGTTTTTTCCAACTAACCTTATTAAAGATATTTTAGAGTTTTTTTTGTAGAAGATGATTAGGTGGTTAGGTAGTTAGGAGTTGAAGATAGTTTGTTAACTTTGCATCATCCACTTTTGATTGGATCACAAGCCATTTCATTTTGTATAAATAACTCATATTGACTTTACATTTCAATCAATAAGAATAATCAATTTTACATTCAATCATTTCATCTCATTCATATATTTCTCATCTTTCTTGTTAATTAAGAAAACTACTTGTATGACTCTACCATTTTAACAAACCTGCTATTTGGGGTCTCTTAATTTCTTGTACATCGATCTTTTCGGTCTTGAAGTTTCCTATTGCATTAGCCTCCATCCAACATAGCCTTTGCATAGCCTATATCCTACAATTAAGGATAGATCTGAAAGTCTAGGAGCACTTGAATTTGTGTGACCTCTCTCTTCCTTTGTTTATCACTTTTTACACTTCCCATTGAAACATAGTCATCAGGCTTGATGATGTCATATGTTGATCTCTCAAATTCAATTGAAACGTAGTCATAAGGCCTGATGATGTCATCTCTTCAGACACACTAAATTTTTAATTGGATTGAGATACATTTGAGACACAAAAAGTGGGACATATCATCTCCTATATATTATTAAGAGTAAATTACACTAACACCCCTGAGTTTTAGTGAAATTACACAAATCACCCCTCCGTTTTTTACACCTACAAAAACCCCCTAATTTTTAAACATACATTACACTGACCACTGATGCATGATAAATATGTTTGATTTTTTAAATTAAAAAGGATGATAAATGTAATTAAGTTAAACATAATACGATATATCGTGGAAACAAGTCCAACAGTATACGAGTCAATACATTTTAATTATTTTTGTTTGTTATAATATAGTACAAGAGTGATTTAAATATCATCCTTATAATTATTGATGCATTTTGTAATGAACCAAAATTAATGAAAATATATTCACTCGTATACTATTTCGGTTTGTCTTCACAATATATCATATTATGTTTAACTTAATTACACTTATCATCCTTTTTTATTTAAAAAATCAAAAATATTTATCATGCAGGGTTGGTCAGTGTAATGTATGTTTAAAAATTAGGGGGTTTTTGTAGGTGTAAAAAACGGAGGGATGATTTGTGTAATTTTACTAAAACTCATGGGTATTCTTATAATTTACTTTAATTATTGAAGACCAAAGGTGATTTACTCAAAAATTTAGTGTATTTGACTTTGACCATCTTGCATTGGAAATCTTCAACCGATGCTCTATCTAATGGGATAAATTTATGAGAAAAAGTTCTCATTGACAATACCATAATAGAAACTTGGTAGCAACTAACCACAACTAGTCTCTGGCTGAATTCCCTTCTTATATTCTATTCCCACAAGAACAGTAATATTAATCAATCAACAAACATTTTATTGGTAACAAAAGATGTTCCAAGTCAACTTTTTCTTGTTCCAACCTGATCCATAAATAAAGGCACACTTAGCAAATTGAAAATTGATTCCAGACAACAGTACAGCATTAAGGAATAGTGTAATCAAATTTGACCTTCTATGCATATAAATACAAGTTCATGAATTTAGGATTTGAAATAAGAAGAGTGTGGTTTGAAACTTCAATAATATTGTTTGCTCAAATGTCTTGCATGAAGAGGTAGAGAGAGTGAATTTGAGCCAAGGATGACTTGCCGGCAAATGAAGTATCCCCTTTGAGGATTTTGCTGGCAAAGATTTCGGGCTCATATTTGATCTCTTTCCTCTCATATGAGACTCCAAGAAGAGCTTGAAAGTTCTTCATGTTTGCAATTTGAATGTGGCAATATGCTTATACTTGGAGAAGGAAAACACAGTAATACATGTAACTTCATCTCATAATCTGATTCATAGCATTATCTAGTTTGATCAGTTTACTTGACCCTTTCTTGTTTAATTCCATTATTTCCATACTTCAGGATCCACTTTCCCTCCCCTCTTTAGGGTGTACTATCATTTGCCTAACTTACTTTTTTTTGGTGGAATGTAAATACTTTTCATTACACAATAAACGCAACATATAAAAAGGGAACATAATTTAAAGAATAATAGTCCAAGTGACCACCTTCTAGGAGGGTTCCCCTTGATCATTCCTTAAACTAGCTTAAAAACATTAGGAGCAAACATTCTCAACAATATTTTAAATTGTCATTTCGATTTATGCTGCTGAATAATTTTATGCATCGCTTTTTCAGTGCACCCAATGCGGTGTGAAATTTATGGTGATTAAAAATAAATTGTAATTTGATGAAATCTGATGCGGTCCAAATGATATATAATTTAGTTGCTTGTGTTATGATGCATCCATGTCATTCTAAAGCCTTCCATTTCCTCTCTCTTACCTCCAAAAAATGAACTCGCAACGAACCCTTAGGAACATTATATCTCAACACTTGATTAACTTTCCTTTGTGAGTTCCTCGTATCATTAGGAAATTCGTTAGCTTGTGAAAATGCTATAGGCTATTTGTTCTTTGTGTTGAAGAGAATTGTCAGAATATGAGTTTCCTTGCTTGATTCGGATAATAGCCAACTTCAAAGAGTTTTTGGAGCTTAGGCTTCGTGTAGAAACAGATAGTCACAAACCTTGAACCACATTTGGTGAGTACCAGAAAAGGGACTCCAATGCTCAAATCAGTATTTCTAAGAGTATGTTTAGATAGAGAATGTCGAAAGAGTAACATTGTTATTCCCTTATGGTTGTCTTCGCCTACTTATATTGTCGGTTTATGTGAGTAGTACTCCAAGGGGAGGTGTCATCATTGTGGACGATGTGATCTTGTCCTTTTAGCAACCTATCAGACTAACAATGATCTGAATTTGGACTACTTGTATTGTGTGGACAACGTGAACCTATTCACCGCTCAAGTGGTGTGTCCTTGACTTTGACGTGAACGGAGATTCTACGACATAGCATGTACTGACTTGTCCTATCACTGTTGTCCTTTTCCTTTAGCTTGGTCGGTCGCCCTACCTTGACCGATAGTAGTATATGCTAAATCTTGTCTGTTCGAGTATGATTCAGAGTCGTGTACAACAAATCTTGTGTACGCGATAATTGTTGGTATCTTTTAGTCAATCACTTCTTTTCACTTTGTTCTTTGTGTCCGACATTAAATTCAGAGCATATGGTGGTTGAGTGATTTAGCTGCATTAATTAGATGTTTTTGGGAGTTGGTGGATTGTTTTTCAACCTTGCTTCCTTACTTTTTTACTGCATTGAGTTATTTGCTTTTGGATTTGCTAAAATTTAGATACACCATGTTCTCCTTTTTTTTTTTAATTTGGGATGATGAGGATATAGCCTCTAAAGAATGAATACAACAGTAATACCTACGTGGTGGTCTTTCTTGGCTTTCCGCTTCCTTTCTATCACGGTTTTTCGGGAGGAGAGGAGCAAGGGGTGCGTCATATGCCCCCAACACTAGTGACAGAGCTCGTGACTCCTGCACTAATGGGAGTTGATTGGTGAGGATCTACTCTAAGGAATTCATGTGTGAACCTTACGAGTTTTTATCCATAACTAGCATACCAAGCCAGTGAGGTGTTTCATTCTCTTACCCATCAGAATGCCACTCGTTCTAAGTGGATCCCAATTGTTGGATCTTTGATATCTTCATATTCTAATGGTTCTTCTTGTCGTGGGTTCAAGATAACAATAAACTTTTAGTTTTGAGCTGATCTATTTGCTTTTTCGTGAGAAACAGTGAAAATGAAATATCTGCTTCTAGGTAACAAAATAATACTCATTAGATGTCTACAAATTAGTATAGAATGTTGTATAGTTAAGAATAATTCTCAATATTGCAAGTCAACTAGCACTTTGAAGTCATTTTGCAAAAAATAATTATGAAAGAAAAGATATGGAAACATAAAGTTCAAAAATCTATAGTTTCAAATCATTTTTACATATCTCATTTTAAATATCACCATTTATATTTTATCCTTGTTGTTCAATGTCATTATCAAGACCCGTCACCACTGACAAATAAATTAGATTGTATTGAAGAACTGACAAAACAAGATCTAGCCATGTAAAAGATTGTCGATCATCCTTTAGGCGACTGTAATTCTAGGAAAGGATGACAATGATAGGGCAACGTTGAGTCATCGTCTACTATGTTGAAAAACCTTCCTTCACATTAAAGGCTAGGCCATGCTGCAAACATACCCAAACAAAGGACATGTTAATGGTGTCTACACGGCATAGCTAATTCCACTCCTTAACACTGCCACACTAATTGGTTAAAAAGGACAAGATATTGTCATCTATTATGTTTACATACCTCCCCTTGGAGTAGAGATCACTCCACCTCACAATATAAATAGGTGGAGCTACTCATAAGGAGATAACATTTATTTTCACTCTACTTTCTCTCTAACATACAACTATAAATATTTCATTGAACGCCGGATTCCCTTTTAGGTACTCGTCCAAGGTTTTCCAAGACCAACAACCGTCTGGTTCAGCACACTGATCAAATTTCGACAACCATCTTCCAACACCTGCATCACTTATATATTTATAGGACACCTCTAATGCGAAAATGTTCTTATATTTATTTCAAATTTTATAATTAATTGGAAAAATATCATCTATTAAATTGAAATAATTGTAAGTTTTATCTTATACAGAGTGGTACAATTATGCACAAGTGATTACCTCCTAATATTTATATGCTCCAAATCCACAATATTTAATTCCTACTTTTTCCATTTCAATAAGAAATCTATATACTATATAAGAAAATAAATTTTTTTTAGCCACATGTCATTTCCTCATCACTTTTTCTCTCTCCTAAAGTGTTTTATGCTACTACTTTATACCTTCTTACACTACATCCTCACTTTTTTTACATTTTATATTTTAACAATTTAAATGCTAATTATTTTTTGGTCCTTATGTTTTGTTTTGTAAAAAAAACGACTATTGAACATTAGAGGGAGTTGAAATCCCTTTTCACATCCACACTATTAAAAATAAATTTACAATAGCAATAACAATTATTATTATATATTCTTTGTTGTTTTTTTAACCATGTACTTATTTGAAAAGAAACCCCTTCTAGCCACATGTCA